TACCCTGCTGGTGCCCCTTGCCCCCCACCCACAGCTCCTGCTCCAGCTCCCCCAGCCCTGCCAGAGGGGGAGCCCCCAACTGCCAGGGCTACAGGGTCAGGGACCTGGGTCTGCAGCCCCCTGCCCATGGCAGGAGGTGGCGGCTGCTGCAGCAGAGCCTGGCTCTCCCCTACTGCCTGCTAGCTGTGGGCTTGGGCAGGGGTGGGAGTACTCCCTGCCATGGCACACATTTCCAGGGGGCTAGGGGACCCGTGCTCCCCACATCTGTGCATGGGGTGGAGGTTGCACACTGCAGGCTCCTGCCCTACTGCCCTCCCCTGGTGCCTCCACAGCCCAGCGTGGCGACCTGGTGCTCCAGAAAACAGTGCAGCCATGCAGGAAGCTGCCTGCTGCTGCAAGCTCCGCGCTGCCATGGCAAGGCATCCCAAGCAATACAGGGTTGCACACAGGGTACACAGGCAGCGCAGAGCTCGCAGAAGCAGGAAGCTTCCTGCACAGCTCCACTGTACCTGGCAGTGCTTGGTCACACATGCTGGGCTGCAGAGGCCCCGGGGGAGGGCTGCAGGGCAGGGAACATGAGCTTGAAGCAGGTAACCCACCCCGCCCCGTGCATTGATCGAAGCTGCACAGGTCCCTCTGCCCCCTGGGAATGCACACAGAAGTGGGGAGCACTTCCACCCCCAAAGCCCAGGCAGCCCACACTGCACAGATCTGGGGGCACAGGTCCCCCCTCCCCCACTGGGAATGCACACAACAGAAGGGAGCAGCCCCTCCCAACCTGGCCTGCCCCCGTCCCATGCACAGATCTGGGGGTACGGAGTCTCCCTGTCCCCCTGGGAGTGCAAGCAACAGTAGGGTGCCAGCCCCAGGCCCCCTCCCGGATGAGCCACCCACGGCCCCATCCCACTCCCCGCCAGGGCCCTGCAGCCACGCATTACAGCCCTGGGCCTCAAACCCCAAGCACTGCCCAGCTGGGCAGGAGCTCCAGTCCAACTCCCTCCCTCACTATGGGAGCCTCTATCCCCCTGCTCCCCTCAACTTACCTGCGGGAGCTGCTCTCCAGGCTGCCTGGTGGCCACATGCACATGGCGCCCCCTGCCTGACCACACTCCTCCCACTTCCTCCCAGCCCCTTGCAGGATGCCAGTCTGCAGAGGGCTTGTTGCAAAACTGCAAAATCCGCGGGTTTCTCCAGTCAAATGAGTAATCTGCATTTGCCTCTAGTACCAGGTAAAATCTGCAGTTTACTCCATTTTTTCCATGGGAAACAGAAAACCCGGATCCCTGATCATTACGTACATTGCACAAATGACTGTGATTATTTCTATTTGATATTGCAAGTGAATCAAGTACTTCAATGGAAGCTTTGGCTATAATTCGGATTCCTTTCTTTCAGAAAGCACTCACAGTAACCACGTTTTATAACCAAATACATTTATTAACAAAGCAAAAATAGCATTAAAATAGAGACTTAAAAAAAATTATAAGCATACTAGTTTCCTTCAACATACAAAGAAAACTCTAAGTGCACAACTATGCCAGTTAAAGTGCAAGCAAAACATCTTCACTAATAATAGAACTGGGTATCAGGCGTGAGCTCCTTACGTCAGAAACACTGGAGTGAATCGAAGGGGCAATTTCTGGAATAATTTACAGCCCACCCAGCCCTGAATACTTCAGTGGCTGTAAGAATCCAGCACTTATGCTGCTGCAGCTGGGGCTGCAGTTTGGTGGGCTGTGCTTGGTCCTACTCCTCATTCTGCTGCTCAAAAAAAATGCATGACCATTCTCTCTTCCTCCTTGATTTTGTCGCTCTCATGTCCCACTCTTCTTCCTTACTAAGTAGTTTAGGCTGACTTGTGAACGTCATACAAGGGGCCTTTTTCAATTGTCTTCAGGCTTGTTCAACAGTCTTGAGTGGATGTCTTTGGGCAGCAGAGATGGAAGGGCCTGCCAAGAAAAAACATATTTTCTCCATGTTCTGTGTCACTGCAAGGCCAGTTTTACACTTAGTCTGTATGTTTCATTCTATCTTTATGTACCAACCTGTTCAGAAGCCCCTGCTAGCTACCTAGCCAAACCAGAGGCAGTATGGCAACAGTTTCAGATGTAATCAGTTTTTAGAAAATTAAAACTTTTTGGGACCTAGATGAGGAGACAGGAAATCAAAGCAAAGGTCCTTTACTAGTATTGTTTTCAAACATATTTCAGAAGGGGAAAGCCCTAATATATTAACATGCTCAAAGTCCCAGAATGGAAGAGGAAGAAACTCTTTTGGGCTAGTGATGGATTCCATCTCTATGTGCCAATGAAATCTTTTTGTCACTTGCTAACTGA